CTTTCCTACAGATAATGAGATGTAAATGCAGAACTGAATATTATTATGTCGTTGTCTTCCTGGGAGAAAATTTGATGGGCTATGCTAGCAAAAAGCTCCATGAGTGATGCTTCAGTGCCTGTGCTGGTCAGTGATGGTTCCTGTTAGTAATTAGGAGCTGACTCATTGCTATTTCTCTCAAGAGACAAATGTTTCTACAGCTAGTGGCAGAAAATTAGATGGTTTTCCAATATACCCAAGAAAGCTGCCATTTGTACTGTCTTTTGGATAGGTGCAGGGAGTATCAGAGTATCTAAAGTGATTTGGGAAAAAAGCTTATAGTGTTGTAACTTTATTTTTAAAAAAGCATGAGTGATATTATTTTTTGTTTCTGATTTCTTTTGGGTTATTTGAGTGTGAAATTTCTGGAGTAATGTGTAGAAACTTGTCAATAAAAATCTATTTTCTAAATATTAGTGATGACTGGGAAAGCTTTATTTGCTACAACTGTGGATAGAAAGAAATGTGAATTTCAAAAGCATTTATTGTAAATGACTAGGAAAAGGCCTTAGAAATCCCTGGAAAATGGAAAATCATACATAGGATTTCTACTGTAAACCTATTATTTTAAATTATTTTAGAAAAGACGAAAATATTTTCTTCTTTCTGGAAAAAAAAAAACTAACTAGTGAATTTCCTGCAATATTTTAATTTTAAGTATTTTAATGGTTTTGCTATGAACAGCCATGGCAACAATAAAATAGAATTGTATGATGTGAGCATGAAAAATAATGGCTCATTCAGAGGCCAAATTTTTAAATATATTAGTCAGAATATTAAAAAATACGGTCATGCTGGAAATGTGAGCTGAGAAGTGTACTATATTAAGCAGAAGAAAAAAGTATCAAAATAAGATTATGTGGAGATTTTGTAATTAATTGATCTGTTGCAGTGTTTCAAGTAAAATATAAAAAGAAAGTATCTCTGAAGGTTAATAGAAATGTAGCAGCATTTGAAGCCAAATTCCTGACTGGAAATATTTCAAAAATAATTTTTGGGGGGTGATAAGGTTATATGGTTGCAGGTTCTGGAATCCTCTCAGTGGCACGATGAGTCTGCTCTGGTCCATCCTGAGGAAAGAGGTTTCTCCCCCTGCGAGCTCATACTTTGTAATCAAAATCATTCCCATATGCAAGGGGCAACCTAATCAGTTCTCACCAGGCCACAGGTGTGCTGAGTTATTGCCATGGCTTACTGATCATAATTGTACAACATCCTGGGTAATAGAATCTCAAGGGGTTTTTGGGGTTTTTTTTGTGCTTTGCCCATCTTGTAAAACTGAGATAGGAGGGGTGTTGTTTAAAGATGTTCTGCTATGCCTAAGGCTCTGCAGGTAATTTCAATAGAATCCTTCTCAAGATTGTAATGAACAAGTTTTTTTCCTTCTAATTGATACAGTAATAAAAGAAAACTTAAACCCAGCATGTATTTAATGCCATCTTCCTGAATTTCTCCGTAAAAAATGCAATGGCATGGAGTAGAATTTGTGTTGTTTGCCCTTGATACAAAATTTTTAAATCATATTTGTTGAACAGTGAGTGCTCACCCAAGGATGTAACCCTGATTAAATGATCAAATATTTGGCATTTCTTCAACTAAGCACATGTGGAAAACAGTCTCACAGGAAATGCTAAATATTATGGAGACAACACAGTGAGTGGTTCTAATTCACTCAGTTCTGAAAGGGCTGATGCTGATTTCTCTCACAATGGCTTCCCCAATTATCTGAGGACTTTAGAAGTCTTTCAGAAGTTTTGATTGCAGCCAATGGCATCCTAAAGTAGGCCAGGGATAAAAGAGTATCTCACAGTTCGTGAATAATTGAGTAGGCTTCTGTATAACAATGAGGTGCCTTATGAAAGGCAAATGTTTGTTTGCTGTGTGCTCACATCTGCACCTATTTATTCATATTTATAGGTAAATTCATATGCTAATGCTTTTTCAAACACTAAGATACAAAGTGTCTGTTGGCCTAATAAGGTAAAATGCTGCTGAAATGCAATGGGACTGTATATGTTTATACCAGCTTTAAAATTAGGTTGCAAAAAATAAAATCCAAATGCAAGGATGTATCTTGGCATATGTACATAGAATATCAGGAGTCCTCTTTGGGCCATTTCGTTCTTCAGATGTCTTCTCTTCTTAAAAGTCTGGAAAAAACAGATGCCAATAGATTGAAGCAGTTACAGTCTAAAGGACAAACATGTTTCTCTCCTCTTGCTATTCAGTGTTCTTTAGAAGCAAAGGCTGTTCATTCCTGCAGCCTGTGTGGTAAAGCCTTTGAATTCATCTCGGTTCTGAAATGTGTGAGAAGGCCTGATGAGGAGCATCCGTAGAGATACTGGCACTGAGCCCTGGTATTTGATGGTAGTTCCCAGTAATAAGGAGGTCAAACCCTGCCTCTAGAATTTCATCAGCTCACCTGCAAAACCTCAAGCTCGCTTTCACACTGTCCCAAATTGATATCCAGTGAAAAAAAAGACTGAAGCCATCATTTGTCTGAACCTGCTCATTTGTCACTAAAGGAAGTGCTTTGGAGTATGCATTAGGTGACCTTTGATCTAGAAAATGTTCTCATCCTCACAGGGGGAGATCTGACTCCTTGACTATGATATCTAGTTTCCCTTTTATGGGGGGGTATTTCTAATGTACTGGATCTAACTAATTCTTCTCATTGCAACAAAATATGGCTCTCCCATATATACATGCATACACATACAAAATATATATTTTGAAGACCACAAACAAACAAAAAAAAAGAAAACAAAACGAGATAAAAAACCTCCTCCACCAATCTTTGAAAAACTTCTGTTAAACAGCACAAATTATTGGTTTCATTGTCACCAGCTGTCAAAAATACAGGTCATCTGTAAAATACAGATTCCGTGGCTATGCTAAAACCCACCACAACAGATGACGACTTGGGTTGGTCTGGTTTTTCTAAAGAGAGCTATGACATTAAAGGTACTTAATAAAAATAAGGAAATCAAGAAAACATTTGAAATTAAGATAGCAGCTTTTACCATGATAATGAACTTCCTAGGAAAATACTTTCCTCAGAGGAAAATAAATGAACTGAAACTAGACATAGACCATAAAAACCACCCAAGATCCCAGAAGAGCCAGGAGTATTATTAAAAGTGACACTTTTATTAAATGAATAATATATCCCTTTCACACAGTTGGTGCTGCTGTTTTTTATTAAGGTCAAAATAGTGTGAATATTCTACATCTTTGTGTGTGGAGCTTTTCATGCTACAAAACTGTGTAGAGTTAATATGTTTAATCAAGAAATAACTGTGGGAGCAGTGCTGTAGTTTTGGTAAAGTCAAGTTGCAACACTGCCAAGATATGATTTGAAGAAAGTACTATCTAATAAAGATGGTTTATGATGTCCCAAAGTGTAATGTCATTTTTTTTCAGGAAATATGATATTGTCTTTGCTTTCCCTCAGGATAGGTGAAGTAATTTCTGAGATAGAAAGTATGATTGTACAGTTGCCACTTTACAACCTTAGTAGAAAAAGCCTAAAAGTTGTTTGCTTTGTAAGAAGTATACTTTCAGAGGATTTAATTACATACCATGTTTTCTTCTAAAAGTCTTCATAATTAAACATATTGATGTAGCCCAATGGTAGGGCTTTAAAAGAGTACACTTATTTTGACTGATAGCATTCATCTTAGTGGCAACAGGATAGTGTCAGTAGTATTATATCATAATGTGGTTAATTGAGTTCAATTATTTTAATGACACTATATTTTCTGCTTGTCCTCAATTTAGGCAGCAGATTGAAGGGAAAACTCTGCTTGCTATAATTTCACTGGGTTTTTTAATTATTTAGTTTTTTGGTAATGGGAGATATGGTTGATCCAAATTTAATAATACTGTATTTCTTGTGCTGTGTCATTAAATTTTATAGAATTTATACTGAATTAACCCTCTTCATGTATGGCCAGTGGAATCATTAAGTAGTATTGGGTTTGGAACTTTCTTCAATGTATCCTTGAATTAATAACATAAAATTACACCTGGGTATTGTTTATAGAGCTGTCCAAGTACTGGAGAGAAGAAAGAAGTAAACTGCTGTCATAGATTATAAAACTAGATTGAAATCTAATCTCTTACTTGCATAATATAGTCTAGAGGATTATCATTAATCAGCTTCTCTTTGAACTGCAGATATTTGATTATTGGATAATTACAATTTTTATTTTTTTTAATTTTGGTTATGGCAATATGATCAGAATGCTTGGTAAGTGGTATAATAAAGTCCTCTCTTTTAAAATGCTTTTAAACCAAAATCTAGTGTGTTTCTTATTAAAAAATGTTGGGAGGATTTTATTTTTCACTACGTGTTCCCAAAGTTTACTAATCTCCATACTTTTTTCTTAGAAAGTCTGTCATTGAACTAAGTGAAAGAACTAGATGTTGTTGCCCAGAAATGCTCACATTAGTTCTTACTTCAGCCTTGTGTTTTCTTTTCTGCGTACACAATGATGCTAAAGGTGATTATTGTGTTCTGGTAAAAGCTGCAATGAACGTTTCTCAGTGGTATTAATCCTCTCATAGAAAAAGAGGACAGACAAATATGAAAGCTAAAAATGCGTGGAGTAAATTCTGAAAGAATTTTCTCTAATGACAGTCTTACAATGCTTTTCATATTCAAAGTTCATTAATTTACTTGTATCTCAGGAATTGTCAGTTTTGGCAGTAATGACAGAAATTTAAGCAAAAAAGTTTACAAAGGATCAGTATGTATATGTATATATATCAATATGTATAAATTGACAAATTGATATATTTGTGTAGAAATAATTGATGCTCCCAGGATTTTCAAGACTCTTAAAGTAAAACACTATCATGTTAAAATTTCTTCCTAAGTCAGTTCTGTAACTCAATACATTTGTAATACTGTCCACCTTTAAAGAAAAACTAATAGAATCCATTGATTTTGTTCACAGATTTTTAGGCGTTGTTGGTTGGTTTTCAAGAAGGCTTCCAGTAAAGGACCCAGGAGGCTAGAAAAATTTCCAGATGAAAAGGCAGCATATTTCAGAAACTTTCACAAGGTAAGTCATGCCTTTCTCATGAACTGAAGCATTGCCTGTTTACCACTCTTCCTATATCTGATTTGCAAACAATACAGTGAAAGCCTTGTTGAAACCCTAATCCTGGCAGTAAAAGCAGAATAAAACATCCATAAGTCTCAGTGATGCAGGTGAGATACCAAGCTTCTTTTACCCAGATGAGCACAAACCCTCAATATATGTGAAGCAACAGAATGATGTTTTTTTGTTAAACACTTGTAGTTTGGAAATGTGTAAAATTGGCTTCCTATTCAAATTTTTAATCAGTAGTTATTAGCTAAGTATTAAACAAATTCTGAAAATGCTAAATGCTTCAGTTGTAATGGAGACATTCTTAAATGTGCAAGGTTTTTCCCAGAATTCAAGTCTTACAATCCCTGTCAACAAAAAGTGTTTTTAGTAATAAAAAGTCAGGACTTACTGAATGAGATACTCCCTGCTTTCTCTATCACTTGCACTTCTGTGATGGGAAACAAGATATTTGAGCATGAGTTCTTCTTTCTATCTCATAAGTTATTGTTATCAGCCCCCCACCCCCACGTCTGTCAGTAGACTTCATGTTGCTGCTATCAAGTCACTGTTAGCTTTATGACATATCAATATTAGATATTCCATTAAACCTGCCAAGTTGAAACACAAAGATGACTTAACCAAGGTCCATGCAGCAAGCAGTGAAAAAGTGTGAATGTAAGCTTAGATCACTTGAAGGCAAGTGAGGTGTTTTTACCATAAAACTACAAATTGGCCTTCAAGTTCCAGTAGCCAGATTGCTCTAGCATGGGTTCCCTGGTGGGGACACAAATCTTGCCAGCGAACCATCTCCAGCATGAGCTCCTCTCTCCATGGGTCCACAGGCCAGGAGCCTGCTCCAACGTGGGCTTCTGATGGGGCCACAGCTCTTTTGCAAGGCTTTGGGGAAGTTTTTGTGTTGTTTTCTTTTAATTCTTTTTTGAGCCTGTTATGCCTGTAGCATACTTAATGTGTTAAAGGACTCAGAAAGACTTTATATGTTGCTTGTAAACTGTCATCATTGTAGAAAAATAATATGAAATGCAGGAATTTTTTGAGAAGCTAAGAAAGTAGCATAGTTACTGGTGCAGCTTCATGTTGTAGTATTGATGGAAGCGTCATCATTTGCAAATAGAAAGGATGGGTGTTACTCTTCATCATCTGTTTTTTCCCCTCTTATTCCCCTCCATGAGGACAGGAGGAAAGAGAAAGAAATGGATACTCTTTCCTATTTAAAAGGATAATGTGTTTCTGGCTGTAGAGAAAGAAGAATTGTATCTGTTCACTTGAATTATGTCTATTTTTCAAATAAAGCCATGAAATAATTTCTGAAGATATATTATCACAAAAGAGAAACCCAGAGTCTTATTCTCTGGCTTGATTTTTTTTTCCAATGATATTTTATTATTTCATAGTGATTATTCTCTTCGATTGCCTCCATTCTGATAAATAAAATAGTGGTGAAGTAGATGTGCATGAGTTGTGAATAGTCATCAAGTGTGACTATTGAGGGAACAATGCAGGTTGTTTGTTATAGGATCAAATATAGTTATTTGATTGCTGGTGTTGGATGAAAATACTCTGATTTTCTTTCTTTCTTTCTTTCTTTCTTTCTTTCTTTCTTTCTTTCTTTCTTTCTTTCTTTCTTTCTTCCTTTCTTTCTTTTCTAGAGCTGTTTATTGGTTCGTTATATTTCGAAGTTGTTCAAAATGCATATTTATCTCTAGTCAGTGCAAACTATTAGCCCTGTTTTGAAATTCTCCATTTCCTTTCTCACTAACAAAATATAAAGAAGGCATATGGTACGAAAAGTTGAAGATTAGCTCTGAACACTGAGAATCAATGAATAAAAGTATTAAATATTAAAGAACTGAGATTTGGTGTTTTTTGAAGAAAGATTAAAATATAAGTTGCAAACCTGACTCCTTATGAAAGGACAACATGCATAAAGGGACAAAAGGCTCTGTTTACTTGCTAATCTTCTTCATAGAAGACTATATATCTGTTGACCTTGAGATCCTTTTCCCTATATAACTTTCTTTCTAAGTATTAGAAGAGGTTGGTGTAGAGGGGTACTCAGAATGAACTGTGTTGCTCTGGCAACTTACATTCTTCAGACTTTCAGATCAGTCTGGGTTACCTTGGGAGAAGGCCTAGGAGTAGCACAGAGATTGTATTGTGCAAATTTTTTTAGCTTTCTTAGGCAGAGATATAGAAGAAAAATTTACATCTCTAGTGGAAATACACCAAAAATTAATATCTTTGATTTAACTGTGTTCAAATCAATATTCAGGATCACAAACAGTACCCCAATATAAGTAACTCATCAAGTTTTCCACTTTTCCATGTTTGAGTTTGAAATGAGACTCAAATAAAATTCCTCTTTAAAGTAGTTTACCAAGATGACTGTATCTCCTATACTAATGTAAAACTTGTGTACTGGGCAATATGATTGTGTACTGGGCAGTAGAAGGGGCTGAACAAAGGCAAAAACCCAGAACTGGTAACACAAAGCTAAGATAATTAAAAATAGAGATTTTCTGGTTTACATATGCTAAACAAATAGTCATTAATGAGTAAAAAAGCTGTTCTCTTTAGAAAATTGATTCCCTTCCCCCCAGTATCCAGACTATGTATGGTTTTATTTGGTGTTCTGTAATTCTGTAAATTGCTGTTGTGCATTGCTTTGGTGTTGGGTTTTTTTACTAGTAATTTTCTTACTATAAATAACAGTAATGGCATTAGTTCTAGACAAGTGCCTCCTGACAGCAACAGTGCATATTACATTCATTAGCCAAAACGTGACCTCATCTGTTCCTTGCAGTTTCTGGTATCAAATTAAAACTTCTCATTACTGTAAATTTAGACCATTGCACTCTTGCTCAGGTAAGTTTATGGCATAGCTGTTCTGTTTTCTTTTGAACATTCATTGAGGAGGTTGTGCAGAACAGCTGTGTTGACTCTCATTGCTCCCTCCAAAGAGGGGATAAAATAGCAATAGCTCTGCATTCATGCCAGGGATGGGTATGTTCTTGGTTGACACTCCTGCATTGTCAGAAAAGACCAAAAACAAATGCCACAGCTTTTCCAACTTAAAAGAGAGCAAAAATAAAAAAAAATATTTTTTATTTCCATAATAGAAAATATAAGGTATATAAAAAGTGAATTTTTCATGCTTTGGAGATGTACTGCTCAGGCAGTACCAGTGCCTGTAACCCATTAGAAGAGGCTTTCAGGAGCATTACAGAAAGTCAGCATGGTTAAGTAGCAACATGAAGATTACCAGAAATGAGAGATCAAACCTAGACTGTATCCAAGTGACCTAGAAAAAGCATTACACTGTTGGCCAATTAATCATTAAAGCAGAATTAGAAAGAACAAAGTCGAGCTTGAAGAGCAACTAACCAGAATAGATTCTGACCCATCAGGATCAAAAACCTTGCCAAAGACCCCAGAGCATGAAGCAAATGTGCAAGAAAGAGAGTAGAAATAAACACTTTGACATTGGGCTTTACTGTAGAGAAAAAGAGACATGCTGTGGTGTGGGTATGTGAGGGAGGGTTCTGTAGACATATCTTTGTGTTATAAACTGAATCATAGGTACTTCAGGCCCAGCTACACAGAGAACAGAGTTACTCCAGAGCCCAAATGCCACTTAAGGATAATATAGCTGAATTACTAATGGTAGTCCATAAATACCAACATGGGAATCAACAAATAAGTATTTTTCCATTCTTTGTAAAATGTCCAGCTCCATTCATGCATGCTTCTTCTTCACTTATAAGCTAAATAGCCTTCACATGAAGGGAAGGTGTTGCAAGTTGGGTCTCTCCCTGACAAGATACAGCTCTCTTGGAGCAAGACAAGCTTGAATCTGTTAATGCTAGTGTGTTTACCTTTCAAATAAATAGCTGACATCTGGCATAGAGATCAAGACTTACTTTAATCCCCCCAATATGAGAGATTTTTCTGTTAAGATTGTGTAAACAACAGCTATCTCTAAGGTTTTGAGCTTTAAGTTAGCAAGATTAAAGTAGGATAAGATTTTTAGATTTATGCTATTTGTTTTTCCTGTCATTATGTTCGATTATGATGTGCTTTATATAAATCTGCAAATGCAAAAGGAAATAAATTGCAAGACATTTTAGTAATGACTTCTGATAGTCAAAAATGTATATGGGACAGATGGTGTTAAGCACATTACATAATATGTGTCCACAAAAATAGAAAATAATCAAGAAAAATTACAGCAGTAGCCTTCTAACTGTAGTTTAATGGATTAAATTTGCGACCAGGGCCACACAATGGTAGATACCTTACAATTTTATTTCATAGCTTGATTGTCCTGAAGAAACTTGTAGAATGCAATTCCAGTGATTTATGGCAAGTTCTTGTATCAGCTGCATCAGCTTCTTGAACACTTCTTGGCAGGGTCTCCTGTGCACATGTGCACACAAAAGCACACCCAGATAGTCCTGTTTGGTAAGGGGAAGACAGGGACAGGTTCTCTTTGTGCAGTAACACACAGTATGCAGGAACAATAAGATATTTATTCTTCTACAGCACAGCTCCTAGTCTCCAGTTGAGATGGCCTTAAACCATGATGTGCTTGTTCAGGATAAGTGAATTCCTGGTAACTTTGAAAACCACTGAATTTTGCCACAGTCTTATATGTGTTAGCTCCCACAATTCTCAAATGTAATTACAGCCCTGACGTGAAAAATAAAAATACTTATGTATGGTAGCATTATCATTATCATAATCGTAAGAACTTCTCTCTCATTGTTTCCACTCAGTTGCCTTTGGGTTGTTCTGGTTTGTTGTTTTCCTTCATGTTCTCCAGCCATTTCCAAATTGCCTAAATAAAGATTCTTATTGCTAAAGAAATGTGAAGTAGCCTACTGTTTATTCTAGTTTAGTCCTAGAGTTCTGCTTTACTGTGGAGTATTTCAGATTCTTGTATTGCTCACGTT